AGAAACTACCTCCATAGAAGTCTTCAGGTTTTCAGAATATGCCAGACGTTGAGAACCATATGTATAACAATTTTTCAGGTAACCATGAGCATAATATCTCATCAGCTTTAGCAAGCAATGTCGCCAATTTCACATTGTTTGTAAAAAACATTTTACAAACTCTTTTTACAAAAAAAAAATAATAAAAAAAATAAGGATATATTTAGAATTAAACTCAATTTTAAAACACCAACGAAAGGATATTAAGGATGGTTCTATTAAAAACCTTTACCATGCCATCTGACTGGGGATGGAGAGGTGTCATTTGGGATTTGTCGACGCCGAGTAGTTTGCAGAGTACTTTAATTAAAACCTAGATAAAATTCCTTCTTTGATCGGAATGTAAATGAAGAGGCACTCTAAACCTGGAAATGCAATGCTGTATAGCACTGCATACCTCTGCTCCGTGACAGCCTTTTGATCAGGGATTGGATACGATTCAGGCCACTTTATGAAGTAATCAGTCTCAACAAGTATGCATTTCTTGCCATCAGCAGTTCGTGGAAGAAGTCCGATGATCTCAAAGGCGATGCGTTCAAAAGGCGTTCCTACATTGTAATGTTGCAACATTGCTCGTCTGCGTTTATTCAGTCTTTTGTATGCAAAGATGGCGAGGCAAAGTGGTGCCAATCATGCGATACCACTTTGCCTCGTCATCAGTTGTATTACTCCCGTAGAAGCACTCTCTCTATGCAATGAATTCATTATAACATAGTAGCCTCCTGTTGGGATGCTATGTAGTTTTTAAAGGACGTCTGATATTTTGAAAGTATCAGCTGCCATCGGAATGCCTTTCCATCATCCGATTAAAACTTGCGATATAAGACACCATTTTCGAATACGGAATGATTTCCAGGGAGCCAATTATTGTTTTGTCCTAGGACTATAGACCAAAGTAGCCTTCCAGGCAGGTTTCCTATCTGAAGATTACATTAAGTCAGTTATGAATTTAATATCCCTGTCTTCTAACTGATCGTTCCTGAAGTTTTCATATGTCTGAATCAAACAATTTGAATTCGTAATTCTGGATGTGAGCTAATTAAGCAGCTCGTATTTAGAGTCCACCCTGGAACAGATTTTCTAGACAGGGCATCGGCGTTTCCATGTGATGATCCCTTTTGATGACCAATAGCGTTATCATATTCCTGAAGTCTCTGTTAAGTCTGGCTGTTTGGTCTTTGGTATTCTTGAAATTTAAAAGCCAGATCAATAATGCATGATCTGTGGTTCTTTGCACTATTGGTTCGATTAACTGCGTTAGTTAATTGAGCACATGCTGCAATTACTTCGACCCCTAATGAATTTAGCTTTATCACTGACGTTGAAAACTCACCGGGAAGACTATCTTCGATAGATCCTTTGAGATCACTTCTTCAGCAAGACTTTAAGTTCTTGGGATATACCATTACGGCAGATATTCCATTATCTTCCATTATTCTGGCTTTCTATGTCTCAGGATCTCGCATGCCACAGATTAAGTATTGCTGGAACTGACTTTCCGTTGTTTCTAATGGGCAGCAGTCCGAAAAGGCGAGATGAGGCAGCCTTTCAACATCCCTGGTGAACTTTCGTGTTTCCCTAGCCTTCTCTAGGAGAAATTTTAATTGAAGTCTAAAAGAGTATTTTAAACACTTCTCCGCAAAGTTAAGCTGTGACGTGCCGGATAAAGCTTTGAAGCCTAGCCTCTAGTTTATGGCCAGAGTTTGGAGGATATCCGCTGTAGTCAGCTCGTAGAGAAGTGGCGAGGTGGCAGGCCTTAGCTGCCACCATCTGTGTCCCATCCATCTGTGTCCGCCATTACAGAAAAGTGAGTCTTGTACACGTGCTAGGAAGTCATTTTATATAGATATCATATATCATATTTCATAAAGACAGAAGAAAAGGCATGGCTACGAATTTAAAAGCGTCAGAATTGTCTCCTGCTATAATGACGGATTTTTTTAAGCTGTCACCTTCCTTGGCGTCTGCAGCAGAAATTCTGTAATTTTTTTGTTGTTTAACAGCAGAAATTCTTTTTCAGATTCTCCAATTTTATTTTACAGCATATCAATTCTGCTTTCTGTAGCCTCGAACTTGATTTCTATTATCGCAGTAATTCCGATTTTCGTTTCTTCTTGACCTGCTTCAGTCTTTTCTTGGCCAGATTCCATCTTTCCTTGAGCTGATTTGACGGACCCTTCCATATTTTCTTAGTCCGCTTTCATTTCTTCTTTTAATATAGGTAAAGCTACCACTAGCTATCTCAGTTGTTTCTCAATTTCTCTTGTTCCCGGCATTGAGTCCTACTTCTGACACCAGAAATTGTTGCGTGCGTACGGGTTCTTACTACAGTGAATGCCCACACAATCGATGATAGCTTGATAAAATTTACTTTTACTAAAAGAATTAATTTTGTGAAAAGTTCTGTAACTTATTACAAAACTACTCGTACAGCTCTTCTTAGTATCACAGAGTACAATCAGTAGTTACTCTTCAAACTGCTAAGAATGTTAAACACAGCACATCTAAAGAGATGCGTTCTACTTATCATTAGCTAGCATTCCGAAGTCTACTCTGAACTTAAAAATTTAGAGGTGATACTCTCTCAGGCCTAATATAGCTTCGACTCCAGATTTTCCTGTTAAATTATACAAAAGATACCATAATTTTAAGCATAACTTTACTAAAATTATTTACGTGTATACAAAAATGCGTAACAATATATAATTTTTTTTGCAGTTAAAAATTATCACTCTTTTCAGGATAAATTATAATGTGCGCAAGTCTTTATAATTTATCCTTATTTTATAATTTATCCTTATCTTTCGCGAAAAAATATCCAAATTCCGCCAAGATGGTTGCGTTGGTATGTTAAGTGTCTGTAAATTTTCGGAATTTGTTCGGTGTTACTCTAATCATGAGAGCTTGATTGTTGATACTCACATCATTCTCGAGTGTATTAAACTGGCGCTACTCTCTTAGAATCTTAATAACTAATTAAACCTAATGATACTGGCAGCATAAAATTTAACATCAAGCATACAGCGGTAATTTATTTTAATAGATAAGCAATTCAGTTTTAAAAGGAATTTATATGAAAAATCTCAGAAAAGTCTTATTTAGATAAACTAATATCTAACATTCAAGCTATATCTAAATGCAAATAAAAATAAGGCTCCTTTTATGTTTTTTTTTATCCTTTATCTAAGTCGAATGCGCTTTTACTGTTTATTCAATTGCCTGAAAGTGGCAGAGAAAAGTGTTTATTAAGATCGGGGAATCTTGTAATTTCTACATTTCGAGTTGCATTTCAATTTATTAAACAACACTGAGGTCGCTAGGGATTCGTATATAGAATAAGTTATTTGATGACTGCCTTGTACTACATAACGTATCTCAGAACAAGGTAACGTTTTGGGCTCCTCGTAATTACAAGATTTGCGGTACTACTAGTTCCGACATGCACGTATAAATGTTTTTTAAAATAAGGCATAGAATTTCACGAAAACAAGTTCAACACAAATTTATACATATTCACACAAAGAAAAATCCCAGTAACTTAAAATATTAATAAAAAAATACGCTAAAATGCGCAAAATTCGCTTAGATATTGACGTTGACTTACATGAATGAATACATTAACTCAGTAATTTTTTTTAAAGTTGTAAATTGATTTTAAAGGAAAGGAATCGTATCTAAGCAATCATAGTCGTAATCGAATAATTTCTTTTAATTATGAGGAAAAGAACCACGTTGCAGCAGCGTTAAAAATACAAGGTGATTATAGTTAAAGTTGCCCTTTAAAGGCTGTAAAAAAAGAATCGCTGGTCATAGTGACATGAAATTTGACGAGAATATACAAGAAATAATGGGAATTTGTCTGGCGAAAGAAAACAAGTAGTTCATTATTTTATTCATTAAATTTCAATAAAATCTATTGCTAAAATAAAACTTTATCAATAGATGGCACCGTACTTGTTAATTAAAAGACATGACATACATACTAAATAAAAACACGGAGTATACGCAGTTCCCGTTATTCTGTATCTGAGAAGCTCGTCGTGACTCTGTCAATGAAAGACTGAGCTCTGCTAGTGAAACTCTTTTACAAAAACAGTGACTGTGCTTTAGTTGCCTTGAAGATGTTCGGTGCATTAAATGGGTATAAGATACAGCTCTGGTCCAATGTGTGCAATGTTCTGCACATTTGAGCATTTAGAGAGCTTAGGAGACTGAAACAGGCTTCGTCTGCCCACAGAATATCACATGGCCATGCACTTCCATCCAAGCAAGAAATCGTAGAACGAAAGTTGTCTTATTGACAGGTCATAAAGAAACAACTCCTAAACGTGCCTACTTTTAAATGGATAGCATTGCAGAATGTTTCGTAAAATTTTATGAACCTTGCTAATAAGCGTGTCTAAAGATCGGGCTATTTTGCATTGCACACTTCAGTACCACATTTAGTCTCTTTTTGCAGTGCTATAGCCACATGTTCCACTGACTATAAAGCAATTGCTTTCCTCCCTCGACTAGATTTCCGCGTCTTATACCCATTAATGTCCCGAACTTCTCCAGAGCAGTAGTTGAAGTACAATCACCATTCTTGTAAAAGAGTTTCAGAAGCAGAGCCCAGTCCTTCATTCGCATAGTCATAACGAGCTTTTCAGATGCATAGCAACAGGAACTGCATATACTTTGTGTTTTTACTAAGTCTAATATGTTTTCTGCATTAGGAATTAGCACAATTGTGAATGTTTGTCTGTACTTGCAAATTGACCTCTTAGGAAAAGATACGAGATTCGATTCACAACAAAACATTTATTTATAGTTAATTTTTGTGAACATTTTGAAATTAAATAGTAGGAAGAAATTTTTTTCCCCGGTTTCCTAGAAAAGCATCAAACTTCTATCTAGAAAACTTTATAAACAACTAACTTTCATTTTATGAGACATGTGAAAATTAAGTTATTGTAACTTACTTGATATAGTCAGTATCATCTAGATAATCAACGCATCTTCGAGCCATTTACTTTGCTTTTACGTCTTAATAAGTACAAACGAATGAACGTAGTGAAGAATAAACTCAAAAATGAAAAATTAGATTATCATAATCTTCCTTCACATTCTTAAATTTGGAGCACCTGATCTCAGTATATGAGCTTCTGGCATATTCCTTTGTCACACAAATATTTCACATATTCGAAATGCGTTATCTACTTTTTGCCTGAAAAAGACACAACATTTTAAAATAGTTTTAATGTGTGTAACGTAGAGTATTTTGAGATTAGTCTTTTAGTTTGTTTCAATTTTGAACTTACATGGCCAAGAATATTCAGCTGCTGAGCACTAGTTACTAAATATCTGCTAAAGTGTAGGGAGTTATCATTAAACGGAAAAGTAGGTACCATAAATATGAGACAATTTTCTAGAGAAAATACGTCAATGTTATCGTCTTTTCGTCATTATGACTATTAATTGCAATTAATTGATATACCCAGCTGACTCATTAAAACCCCTACTCCATGATGGAATATCACAAGAACTTGTAATTTACAAGAAATTTAGAACGTATTGGGAAACACAATACAATACACAAATGATAAACGTTTAATGGCATGTTCAGATTACTGGCAAGAGCAATGACACCTAAAAGCGGTATAATATGGTAGTTGAAATACTGAGTTCTCATTCGGAAATCTCTCAGGTTCGTTGCTTTCCTGTTGGACGTGCTATTATGTAGCATGCAAGAAGTAACTCATATCGATCAAAAATTCGATTTTTGGAGAATTCCAGCTTATCGCAGTTTATTCCAGCTTACCGCTTCGCGAGGGCTGCTTACTTTAGTCGAAATCCAGTATCTGTTATGAGAATCGGAAATTGATGAGGATAAGAGGGTACCGAGTGGGATTTAAAGGCACCTATCACCAATATCGGAGAAGACAGACATCTTGCTTGTATCATTTTTAGGGATCCTAAAGCCACATTTCGTAGTCTGTATTAGGAAATTTGCATATTTCATAATATTATATATGTGTCATACAATGCGACAGGATTTGCAGCTCCGCGCATGGTCATCAACACCACCAGTATTCGATTTCCTTTAACGCTGTAGTACAGGAATTAGGACCTGAAGTAAAATATATGGGTTAATGTACAGCGTGACGTCTTTTTTACTCCCTCGGAGGCGAATCTCACTGTCCCATGTAGCGGTATGTAGATGAACTTAGAGGAAAAAACATTGAAAGCTCGCTTTCTTCATCGTCACGCTGGATTTGAACTTAGTAATGATGGTAAGAGGTGCATCTGTTTCACTTCTAATCTGCTTCTAATCTGCTGCGAATAGATACCGTTGCGTTATAAGGTTTGATTTCCTTTGTCTCGCTCATACCTTTGGGGACTCCTTCAACTTCGAAGAGGACAACACCGAATTGTATGTTGTAAGCGCTATGTTACCTCAATACGGTGGGTGTTAGATGCTTGCTTTTGCCTGCGAGTTGACCACACATTTTAAGTTAGTGAGTGATCTAGAGAAAGAAAATATGTGAGAAAGATCGGCATAACAACATGCCGGAAAAACTGGCATGATTAACATCCGTCACACGAAGCAACAGATAAACCTAGCATAAAAAGGAAGCTATATGGACTTGAATTGCTATCCAGAATTATTCAACGTCATTCGCCTTCTGCAGTAATTATGGATGGCTACACAAAATAACTCCCAAGACCAATACTACAACACCAATCAAGACAAGCCCCATAACAGCTACAATTACTGCTAGAGGCAGATGCTCGGAATACTGATTTTTGCATGTTAAAAACTTCAAAATTATTTGAAAATTTTATTATTTCATTTTCCTATTCCAGTTCAGTTTCATATCCCAGCATTTCTAAACTAAATATGAATCTCTTAATACCTATTTTTAAGGGGCTGCAATTTTAATGGCCAGAAGTGTATTTTATGAAGGACAGTTTAGTTATTCATAATATACTTTGAAAGGATCTCTTTGTTCCTATTTGTCTTCTTGGAAATTTTCTTAACCATTTCATTACTTTGTTTCTTATCAATAGATTACTTTTTAACATTCAGAACATACATTAACTTGTTATTTACATGCTTTTTTAGAGGACTGTTTTTGCCCTGTTTTCTTCGTTTTTCGAAGTTTCTGCATTTAAATAGGAGCATTTAGAAAGAATTCTCGAGTTCATTTTAAAAGAAATTTATACATACTCAGCTCAAATCTTGATTAATTAATAAGTTAAAGGACAAGTTAAATTTAAAAAGGAGAAAAAAGTTCGGTACTATTCCGTTTTGCCGGCGCAAACGATAAAGTCGCCTACAATGGTACAACTGATGCCGAACAGAATATCTTCACTGGTAACCTTTTATGCCTCATTTTCGAAACAAATCGCAGCCATTTCTTATCAGATTGATTGTTTCTTTAAATACTGGCATACAAATAGAATTTTTACAAGAAAGTTAAATTTTATGCCCTAAGATCATTCGCGGTTATTAAGTCAATTAGAATGCAATCACACCGCTCACCCGAAGGGAAAACATATAAAAGGCAAAAGCAAGGGTTAAATTCACCAATTCTAACGAGAATGCACGAGCGAAGTAAAGCACTGCGGTTTGACATAGTTTCTAAGTAAGCTATTCGTACAAATTGAAATAATTCTTGCATTTAAACATGTATTCCAAATTAAGATTTAACTTGAAATTAATGTTGAAAATTACTGAAAGAATTAGATTTTTCTAGCGTAATTTACGTGAGATGAGATCACGTTGAGTCATATGATACGAACTGGCGAATCAGGATGTTGAACTATGAAAGCATAGTGAATTCTTAATGTCTTTTTACAAATTTATTGTCTTCATTTATTGACCTTTTACAAAATTTTGGTGCTACTTTGGTAGACGGTTGCACGGATTTTGGTGATTTTTTTTTTTTTTTTTTTTTTTTTTTTTTTTTTGCGAGCGGTACGACTTATGGTAAATCTATTGCTGGACAAGTTATTTATGATAACCGATACTTGTCATTTTATTAAAAACATAATTCGTTTCATTATGCATAAATTAAGTGTTTTAAATATTATTTATGGCTTCTAAATATTAAAAATCAATTTAATTTTGCATTTTTATTTGAAATAAAAATTTTGTTGTTTATGATATTTTATATAATTTTATGTTGTGGATGATGTAATCAATGACGTCACCTTACTTAAAGAATAATTGGTTTTATTAATATCTATAAATTTAGTCTAATGTTTTAAACATTATTTATGGCTTCTAAATATTAAAATACAATTTATTTTGCATTTTTTTAAAAATGATATTATTATGAATTATTTAAGTAATTTTAATTCTATGCGTGATGTAATCAGCTCCCTTATTGATTACTGAATATTTGTGCATTACCGCGCCATTTTAAAATTTTATTATTCATCTCTTCGAATTCCTCAGATTTCGAAACGAATGGGTATGTCCGTTTTGAAGATGAATGTTGTTATTGGTAATTACCAAGAATTATTGGTATCGGAATAAAATTTGCCCTTTGAGACCTTATTTTGGCCAACCTGGCTTTCCTAATCAAAGATTTATTTATAAATTGTTACAAGGGTCAGAGGAACTTTATTTTAAATTTTTGGAGGAAATCTCGCTAATTGCTTCTTCAATGAATGGCGAGAGATGTGTATCACAGATGAAGATCGTTAGAAGATCTTTTTTTGTGGTACTTATCAATATACGACAGGTAAAATACTTAAAAAAATGTAAGTATATATTTTTCTTTTACTTTATAATTGTATACTTCAATTTTTATCAAAAAATTAATACACTGTTTTCAAAAATTCCTGAGATATTTATTGCACGGTACTTCCGTTTTTTAGACCGTAAAAAAATTGCAGCGAAAATGTATGCGTAAAAGCGCCAAATCTAACAAACGCGCCCATTTAACAGCGCGCGAAATCTAGCGTACGCGCTGATTTCAGATTGCGTAAGTTTATATAGTTCTATATTTCTTAAGACGCATAGAAATACTAGTTTAATTTTTAAATCCTTTTTTGATATCTTATGGATTTAACAATTTGGGAATTGCCCATGAGGAAAAGTCTGCAATAGAATTTTGGGTAAAGTGCAGAATCCTCCACTGTTTTTAAGAATTTCAAGTACTCGATACCCAAGTACACATTGACCTATTTTCACTTAAAAAAGCATCCCAGAATTGCCCAAAAATGGCACTGCGCACACCCTTGACTTTATCTATGTACACATCGACCTATTTTCACTTAAAAAGTAAAAGAAAATTGACAAAAATCCAATTGTTTTTACCCCTGTAAAAAGCGGCAAACAAATAAGTAGGCGATTCTGCCCTTTACCGAGAATTTTTTCAAAGAAGAGGCATCATTCATTATAGAAAATTATGTTTGAATAACCAATGAGATGGAATTATGCTTTAGCGATAACTCGGTAGCGAAATAGCGATGCAGGCATCCATTCAGTTACGTTTAGCAATTTTTACATAAATTATAATAATGATCTGAAATAGTTATTTACACTTATGCTTCCATTCAGTCATGTTTAGCCTTTTTTTATATAAATTAGAATAATAAAAAAGTATTATATGAAATTAAATGAAACATCTAAATTAAAACATCAATCTTAAATAGTTATTTACTATTATATTTCCCTTTTTGCGTTAGGATTGCCGCAATTATTTTTGGCAGCACTGGCATCAACAATAGTTTGGCGATTTTTTACGGCACTCAAAATCGTATAGTACCATTGCCACATATGTTTTAATGTTAAATAATTATATCCTATAAAACTTATTTTAAAGTATTTAAATTTAAGTAATATTTTAATTCTTTTAAACGTTTGTATGATGTTTTTAATTCGATATTCAATTTAAGTAATATTTTAATTCTTTTAAATGTTGGTATGATGATTTTAATTCGATATTCAATTTAAGTAAAATATTTTAATGCCATTAAATGTTGGCGCAATGTTTTTATATCTGTGTTTTTATTTGCTATTATATGAAAGTAATAATTTAACCTTACTTACTTTTTGCATTTTATACTCTTAGTTGAAATGTATTTATTTACATGCTTGCCGATTGCCATCTTAAAAAACGACGTTTTCAACAAAAAATTAATCCATTATTTTTAACGAAATTTATTTATTTATTTATTTTTTTTTAAGTTTCGAATACTTTATTATGCGTA